AAACTAGAAATCGACTGATTGAGAAATTAATTGAAAGATGAGTCGATAATGAAAATAATCATTAGTTGCTACCTCAGTGATTATTATTATCACACTATTTTCTGACATTTTGTAGACTAAACCCTCAGCCACTTAATCAAGAAACAACAGTTTAACAAAATAATTGACACTGAAAATAATTAACCGTTGCAAGTAAAGTGTTGGGCCATTACAAGCTGCCAGAACAGCTCCTTTGCATATATTTCCCAACTCTCTGTAACTCTACTTGAGGAATTAAACACAATTCTTTATTACTTCATTTGGTGTTTTGATGTTGGTCAAGCGCACTGTCTAACATATTGATCCAAAATTTAAAATAGGTGAGGTGTGGTGACTAGGAAAGCCATAGCATATGATTCATGTCTGTATGAATGTATGTTCTGTATGAATGCATCTTTATTATTATTATTATTATTATTGTTATTATATTTCTCAACTCATCAGGTGTGTATTAGAGGGTGGTTACATGTAGACACGTGATACATGATACACTGTTAGAGAAAAATGATGAAGAAATATATAATTACATTACTCAAAACTGCTCCTTTTATGACTATTATTGAGACAAACATTCGTCTCATTTAATCCAGGTGTTCTTAAATACCACATACTGAAGCATACTGAAGTAAATTTGTAGAAAGTGATGTTTAACTGATTTGATTATACAGAAATAATGTCAACAATCTCATAATTGGAACAGCAAACTCACCCTTACCCAAAGTCCACAAGCTTAGTTTAACAAATCTTCAAAGATAATATTTGACCAGTCACATCTCGTTCCTGCTCCAGAATGTGTTCAGCCAAACCAGAGCTGCTGTCGAGTGTGTGTACGTGCATGGACATATTTTTTTGCCTGTGTGACATGCATTTGAGCTAACCTTATGTAAGTACAGTATACATAACGCACGTGCCTTCATGTAACTATCGGTGTGTGATAGAGATTGTGGTTCAGACTGTCTGCTACTTAGTTATTAAGAAGGCTGCTCTTTTCCACCTCTGCTTTACTGAAAACTGAGCACCTAACACAAGTCAACAAGAGTCGTTTGTTCCTAATTTGGTTGAATTTTTTTCCTCTCCGAAAATGAGTATTTATATATTCACATCAGCGAGCCATAGGGGCTTTCCAGCAGAGATGATGGCAAGACATTAAACAAATTGTGTGCAACGAGGTGATCATAAAACACAACCCTGTGGTGTCTCACACAGACCTGTCATTATGGCAACAAACAACAAACACACACACACACCATTCTCAGGCTATATACAGACACAAAACACATCCTCACACACACCCCTGTGATCCGCCCCCCCACGTTTTTCTCTCCATCATCATAAAAGGTGAAGAATGTTCTGTTTATTTCTCAGTAGGCCTTCATGAGTATGTGAGATGGCTCGGTTGCCTGCAGCTTAAAAGTTTGATTGTTGTAATAAGAGTCTAACATAACCAGATTAACACACCATGCTTAGATTTATTTTCCAGTTATTATTACTTCCAATTATTATTGTATTATTCACTTCTGCTCTAATAGAAAATGGGGGCTGATGTGGCCACACATGCAAATTATAAAGTAGAGCCAAACGGTTACATTTGCATGCTGATATTATTGGCTGACGTTGTTTATCCTGATATGTATCTGTATATATTTTGGCAGATACGCTCATGCAGAACAGTTTTACAGGGTGTATTGTTGTAAAGATTGCTTTAGTTTTAATACTTATTTACACATAACATGAATGTAGGTTTTGTGTTTTTATTTATTGTTATAATATACTTTATAGTAAATGCAGATTCAACATTTGGGTGTTGACCGATGACTTTATCTCATGAAAAAGTCACAAAAACCTTACCAACTTTATGCCTACAATTCATTATTATTAGTTTTGTTGTTATTGTCATTATATATTTGATTTAGTTAGTAGATGATGACCTTATTACATAGACTGCACTTGCTGTGTGAAATAGTGCTTCTAGTCTTTTTTCCCTTGAGGTTAAAGGTGCCCTGTGGAGTTTTTTTTTTGTAAACAAAGTTTGCCAAAACGCAGTGTGTGTATCCAACATGTCTAACAAACATGTTGAATGTATTTTCTTCCTCCTTAAACATTTGCAAAGCTGATTTTGGGAAATATATTTTAAATCCGGCTTTGTTTACACCCGTTGGTGCATTGCTGCTTTTTGGTTTATTTGTTACCGCTGGCAACTGTTGATTAGTGGAATAATGCAAAATTGGTGAGAGGAATGTGGATCTCATCGCCGAAATGCTCGCAAACATTGGTAGATAGCGCTCTTAGGGTCCAACTCTGATATAAAAACCTTGAATTTATTCTAAACATGTAGGGATGCTGATATTGTATATTGAAATATTTCGAAGTAAAGATCGTAATGTAAAAAACATTGACTAATAGCCACAAAGTAAAGATGATGAAGGACAGACGATACGTTATTTGTGTTTTTGTGTGTAATCCTTGATCCTGATTATGGTCTTGTTCTTTGCCTCACTTAAGATGCAAAAAAGTACATTCCCCTAAACAAGCAGCAAGATGTCTCAACTGCAGCCACTAATCCAGCTCCAACAAACAGCAGAGTCCCTGATGAACATCCAGGAGATGCAGTTCTGGCTGGAAAAAGCAGTGACTTGGGGCCAGGCTGACAGCCCAGACACTCAGAAAGACACCTGCCTGCACTTGAGCAGACTGAAGGATTTCCTCCAGCAACTCCTCACACACATCAACAACATGGTGAGTTATTGTGAGAGGTTGTGCTTGCTTTCTTGTGTTTACTTTGTCACAATGCAAGGGAAACTGTGAGATGTATATTTTTGACAGATTTGGATGGTCATGGTTCTACGCTTTATTTCCCAGATGCCTGTTAAGTCTAATAAAAATGGTCTGCATCCACTAAGAGGCCTGTTTTACAGGCTTGACAGTTAATCAGTTCGGCTCAATAGCCAAACAGCCATCTGATTAATGAAGTTAATTCAAACACCAGCATGTCTAGTATACACAAACACAAACATGCACACGCTCACTCTTTGTCCAAGCCAGGGCATGAACAGTAAGCCCAGCGTCTGCTAACAGAGGCTGCTCTGTGCTGTGCAGTGGCTGTGTATGTCTGGCTGGCAGAGCTGCAATGTTGAGTTAGTCAGGTAATAGCCGCATAGGGACCTCCAGCGTTAACCTAATGTATCCCTATATCAGGTCCAGCAAATTTGGGAAGGGGGCTGAGGACAGGAGGGGTGCAGGACTGTGAGATTACAGTGTTACTACGACCTTGCCTCCTCATTCCAGCTTTTCGCCTTAGCACTTTCTGGCTTGCTGCTTTTTGTAACCAATTTTCTCTTTCACATATACTCTTTTTCTCACATAAGTCTTTCAGTCATGGTGCTCTTGCAGGTTTTAATTTGTTATTCTCTACAGTCCACTGTAACACCCTGGTGATGGTTAGAATCGGTCTCTGTGTCTGTCTGTTTTACTTTCTACTTTCTTTCTACTTCGGCAACTAGCCATATATTTTTATAGATGAAGCATTGACTGGCTATTATTTGTATCTGTCTGTCTCCTTCTCTGTTTGTCTGCATTATTCTGGGTATATGTCATGCAGAGGTGTCAGCGTGTGTAGGATGATGGAGCGGATACAAAGAAAGAGAAAAGAATGGTATAGCTTAATTGGGTTGAAATCCTTTTTACTAGCAGTTGGTTCATAAAAGACCAGCTGAGGATACCCTACTTCTTGGCAGCATTTTGTATCCTTTGAGGACTTAACAACTTTCCTGTGCCTTTTGCCCAAAGATGAGAAATACTCCTAGTTATTAATCATTTCCAGGTTTTCACTTGGCTAGAAAAGTGGAGGAAGTTTCCTGTCTTAAATACAATATTGTGGAAATGCACTTATTTGCTTTTTTGCTGGCACTCGATACCACTCTTATATCTGTCCATTAAGGATAGACAGATTGTCGGCCTGGCTAATATTCAGCTTTTTTCAGATTGTCTTAATGGTAATTTTGTTTTTATTTTGTTGATAAAATAAATCAATTTAAAAACGCCTACTTTGGCTCTGTTGCATCCGCCTGTCTCTGTCCAGTCACTGTTGTCTCGCTCAATGTCCCGACCACAGCACTGTCTGATTGGTTACATATGAGTAATTTCCAATCAACACTCAAGGCTGCTGTGCCACAAACAGGGAAATACAAATACTCAAGTAAAAAATTTAACTTAAGTAGTACTTAAGTAAATGTATTTAGGTACACTCCACCACTTTATTCTAAACTTTGATTCTAAGATTTTCATTTTTACTACAAATATAGGTTCCAAATGTTTGTTATCGGTTTCATTCATTCCTTATAAACGGTAATTGTATCAGCCCTGAAAGAAACATATCAGGTGATCCATTCTATGAAGCTGGATACAACAACCAGTTAGCCTAAGTTAACATAAAGACTTATGAACAGAAGGAAACAAGTGACCTGGGTTTGTCTGAAGGTAACAAAATTCACCTAGCAGCACATCTACAGCTCACTAATTAACATGTTATATCTCCCTTGTTGAATCTGCTCGAAAAGTATAAAAAGGACAGTTGAGAGACAAAGACAAATGAGGTATGACTTGGAAATCTGTCAGATGTAGAGGTGCTGGTAGGTAGATTTGGACAGAGCCAGGCTAAGCTTAGCTAACTAAGCTGGTTCCAGCTTCATATTGAACAGATATAAGTGTGGTAACTCTATAGGCAAAAATGAAAATAAGCAAATTTTTCAAAATGATGAACCGTTCTTTTAAAGAGTGTTTGGAAGTGTGCATGCATATTTGCCATGTTGTTGTACACCTATAGTCACCATAGTAGTCCACAATTTTTTATTTTTATTTTTTTTAACCATGGTTACAATACCACTGCTGCAGTTTTACACCACTCCTCAAAAGAACTGATCGGAAAATGCTGCTGCCCAAAGTAAGATGGATGCAGGGTGTGGGGAACTCGACAATACACTCTGGTTTATATTTATGTGCTCACCATAGTAACTTTGCTATTTAATGTCAGGGCTACTCTGATTGTGGTTCAGTGATGTCGGGGACAGAAGTGTTTCCTCACTGTTTTTTTTCATCGTCTATAAACTTGTCCCATTTGCCTCCCTGGCTTAGTACATAATCAGTCACTTCTGTCTGAGATGTCTGTCCCTAATCAAGACAAGATACATAGTCTCAAAGCCCGTTTATAATTAGGGACAATGTTGACAAGGCTTTGATGGTGATTTGGCCCTGAAAGTCGGTGATAATTACTTACTGTTGCTATTGTTCATTCTTATGGGCATTCCTGCAGTCACAAAGCATTAGTAAAGTTCTTATTGTAAATGAACATTCCTTTTTAGTTGCATCAACAACACACAAATGCACATGTATACTCACACACAACATTTACCATGTGTTGTTGGATTGATAGGAAGGTTGAGTGTGAGGGCTGTGTTCCAGACGGCATTGGTGGTATTGCGGGGGCATAGTGGGGGCATTTAGAGAAACTCTACTTGGCCTATTACCATTCTGCTTCCCATTAATGGTGATCTCATCCACTTAAGTGAATCAAGTTAGTCTCCTTGTCTGTCTGATGCTCTTTTTGAACATATAGGCCAAAAGTTACCTTACCGTCTTCCTTTTATCCAGTGCTACATTGAGGCTCTCTAATTATTTCTGATTAAAGGTGTACGAAGCAGGATTGATGCATATTGGCATAGCAACAACCAAGTTTTACCTTGTTTCTTCTTTCCTGTTTCCTAATCCTCTTTTACATAGAAATCTATTTAAAAGGTACAAATATTTTTCTCTTAAAAGTCAGTGTTTTTTTGCATAAGACACAGTGGAAAATATTTATAACATTTAGGAGGAATATAATATTCATGGGTATGTTTTCATTAGTGTATAATCAGGGATGGAGACCACCATGTTTTTACAGTAGCCCAGAACAGACACATCAAACACTGGCTCTGGAAAGGACCGTTTGCCTTATTCACAGCCACCTTAATTTTCTCCCTTGTTCTTGGAAAGATAGGGTGATGCGAGTGAGTTGCAATCTGCAACTATACCACTACATGTCTAGACTAAATCCTACACACTGGACCTTGTTACAAAATACTTTACATAAAGAAATAAAAACAGACATGGTGGTTAAAATTATGATAAAGCCAAAGAACATGAGAAAATCTTGAGCAAAAAGACAAGGACAGGGAAATGTTTTGAAGCCCACCAGAAAACCTATGAGTTATGAGTTATGAATGACCTATTATTTTAAATCCATGTTTTTCATATCAGAACCTGACCGCCAAACACCACAACTTCCACTGTGTGTACACGGCAGTGAAGTAAGCCGAATCATCTTTGGTTGAGCAACAGCACACTGCTTCAATTACAACTGGCTTATGTCATATTTCTTTGTGTGGGCTTCTCCAGCATCAAAGCTGTTCTTTACAGTTTAATTATCTCAGAGGTGAAATGTATGATATAGTCTGTTAATATGGGATTAATACTAAGTAATACTGTAAATGCCCCCTAACGTGATTCATGCACACGTGTGCAGACATGCTTGTAAATTTTAAGTAATACGTCACCTCTTTGATCTGCTTTCTGTAGGTTCCACTGCAGTCATCATTTTGTAAAACACAATGTGTTCTGTGTTGATGCATTAACCCCAGAAAGGTAATGAGATAGATTGAGACCATGGAACAAAATATGGTGTTTTTACAGTTATCCTGATTAATCATTTATTTTGAAAAGCATTTGTCTTAACAAATAATGGCATGTCATTTTCTGACAAATATGCTGTTTTTTTGTTTTATCGTAGTAAACTAGAACGAACAAATGAGTGTGTTTCCGTTCTGCTGGACTTCCCAACACATTTTAATAATCACCTTGTGTTTGGTTCTGGTTTTAAATAAATAAGCTCCATTCTTTTTTTTCCACATGCACTACATCCTTCTTTGTCTTGTTTTCCATTAATTTAAGCCCTGACATATTATTGGAATCTTTCCAAACCTTAAGTCTAAAATTTTCCAAATGAAGGTCATCTGGGAAAATCTAATATTTTAAAAAATAAAAAGTATTGCAAGTCAGGATTAGAGGTTATTCGGGTTTTTAAATGCAAAGCCTGCCCTAGCCTGAAACCTTCTGGATGTTTTAATTGGCTGTGAGGTGAAATAAATCACATGGTGTGTTGTTTTGAGCTGGATAAACAAGCACAGACACACACATACTTAAAACCTGACAGGTATAGCACCCTCAGCCAGAGCCCTGTTCTGCACTGTGTATCTCTCACTATTGACACTATGGTGGGAACTGTGACATGACCAAAACACAGGAAGCAAAGGTGATGCATGAGTAATGTACTGTGCACCTGTGGATGCGCATGCTATACAACCCCATATCCACAGTCATCAATTACACTTGGGATTGTTTTTCTAATGTTTGGCACAAGGTTACTTTGTTAAAAAGATGAAACAGGTGAGGAGGTGTAATCATCTATAATACAGTAAGACCATGAGAAATGTTATTTTTTGGATTATTTCCACTTCCGTCATGTTCGTCTGATTATGTGCCAAATAGAAAAAAAACAACAACATAAAAACACATTACTGTATGCACCCTCCACTCAGAACTAACACACTTAAGTTATTAGTCCAGGCTAGCAGGATCCAAAATGAAAAAATGTACACTATTAAATCAATTTCTCCTGTCTGTGGCTGTCCCTGTTCTGTCCTTAAGAGCTCCACAACAGAAACCATGAAGAGGCTGCCCTTCTTAGGCCAGTTTCTTGGCAGACTGTGCTGGAACCCTTATGTCACTGCTGATGGTGAGTGCATCTTCTGAAAAACCTAATGGGGAATAGAAATCTACCATCCCTATAGAGACCTATGAACTAGTGATTTCTGGTGTCTTGTTGTCTGCAGCTACAAGCAGAAGGTTGTTGTTCCAGTGTCTGTGGGGACTGTACTCGGAGAATCCAGGCAATGCTGTGGAAAGAAAAGCCAACCAGTGGATACGGGTATGGACTCAACTTACACTGTTTTTGTCAGTAGAGAACTTAGCCTAAGGTAAATTAGGTATACTTATAATACTGTTATTTTTTATATATGAGTAAGGGGTAAGGTTTAAGAAAAGTTACCCGTGATTGCATGCCACCTTCAATCTTCAATCTTTGTGATTCACACCATTTTTATGTGTGCAGTTACTGTGCATTTTCTGAACTGCATTTATGTTATCTCAGCAATTTGGGTTGAAACTAAAATTCAGGGGAAGATCAATGTAGAAATAGGTCTATAGGGCCCTGGTTTCCTTGGTCTTAAGGTGCTGACCACAGTTGCTTGTCATTCCATATCTCCATCTACTCTTATTCTGTCATCTCTTTGTTGAAATATCTCTAATACAAGTATAAAATTTCCCAAAATTAAAAAAAACAAAAAAACAATTCGCCTGAGCATCATTTAAAATACTTTGATGCCAGACCTGATATAATACCTCAGTTTTGGTACATGATAAATGTTTTGTTACCTCACGCTGAAGAACACCTTTTTATAATAAGCCAAATGTTAACTTTTCTTAAATAAAATACTATTATTATATATTATTACAAATAAAATAATTTTATCAATCAGGAAATATCTAATCAAAGCATAAGTAAACACAACTATGAATCTGACGATACTTGGTACTAGAGACACATTTTGGTTAGTACCAAGAAAGCATTGGAGCTTGAGACCCAGCCTTAGATACAGTAGGAGGTACAGTAAGGGTTTATTAGTTTTGGGTAAAGTTGGGCAACAACAGTCTGGTGAAAGAAAGAACTTTCCTAATATTATAAGCTAGACATACGCATGCTTGTTTGTATCGTAATTGTTAATTGATTATTTCTGACAATGGCAGTTTACTCACTAAGCTTACCTGATATAGAAACATAGTAAATTATGATGCCACATAAAGGCTGTGGTTTCATTGGTCATATGGGCCCAAGTGGGTGGTACACAGCAAATATCTCATAACTGAGAGAAGCTGGAAAAGGTGGAGACAAAAACTCAGAAGTATTTAAAATATTCAGTAAGAAATTAAGCTGTTGTTCCACCCATTCGGAACATTATTTATTTCTCTTCCTATCGTCCATCATATGCCTTTTCTCATCATTTACATGCTGGATCTGTTTGCTGTTTATGTCCTGATTAGTTCTTGATGCTCATCTCCTCAACAAATACTCCTAAAATGTCTTTGACTGACTTTGCGCTGCTGAAGAGATTTTCTGTCTAATTTACTTTTAATAGGAGTTCTCTTGCCAACCCTCTGTGTCTCCTCTCCAATGGGACATGGATGATGAATGGTGGAGATTGGGTCTCTGTTAGCCTGAGCCTTTTGTGCCCAAAACTGTAAAACATATTTTGAAGGCAAATTAAAATTGACTGTTTCACTGCCTCTTGTCACTAGAGAAGGATCAGCCTTTATATTATGGTTAGTTGATCTTGCTCACTGTGTGTTTTCAAGGCACACACACAAAGGAGGGAAAGAGAACAGAGGGAAGAAAAGATTCTACAATTTTCAACTTTGAGAGGGTTCACACAGATGGCTTATGATAAACAATGTTGAACCTTCACATTTTTGCCAGATTAACTGTGTGTTTGTATTCTTTTGATTAATTTCTCATCTAATAAAACATCTTGCTAATTAAAACAGTGCCTTGAAAGTAAACCTTGAATTTGCCAGATGGTCTTTGACCCATAAGAGGGGAAGCGGAGTACATGTGTGCGTGGTTGAGTTTGTGTCTACAGTATGGCTGTGTGTTTTTGTACGGGTATATCTGCATATATGCATGTGTGTGTGAAGGTGTATAGATTTTTCAGAATTAAAGACTACATTAAAGAAAAGGGATCTATCATGGCTTTTATGTTGGTGTACCTTCAGTCCTTTTGTAAATGACTTTATCTCTGCATGTAAAGCCATTTTTACCTTCCTAATTTCTGCTGGAAGGGGACGATCGTGGTTGGTTTGATTTGGTTAAAATGAGGCACAGTTGCAATTAAGGTTTGGTGAGAAAATAAACTTTGATAAGATTATAAACATTTGTTACGTTCATTACTTTCTCAAATAGTGGAAAACCATTCTTATTGTGAAATAACTGAGATAAAAGTTACTTTTCTGATGACTCTCACTTAAACAACAATTGCATTTATCCTTTACATTTAAATAGTTTAGTTTAAACTGTATTTTTTATCATTGTGTACAAGTAGTTAATTGTAGCTGATACTTTATGTACAGCACTGAAGGGTTCACTGGGTCCACTCGTACTAAAATTGCATGCAAAGTGTCCAAATAGCACAAGTATAATAAACTCATAACTAACTCTGCAGCTTCTCCTCATTCTCCTTCTCCTCCAAAGAAGCTTCCACTCCCCACAAATGACAGGAATGGCGGGAAGCACAAAAAAACCTATTCACCGCAGCTCTTCCCGCCTTGGGGAGCAGGGCAGATGTATGGTTTTAGGCCAGAGATGGTCTGTCTTTGTGTCTCTCCCTGTGTCTGTGTTGTGTTGTGTTGTGTTGTGTTGGACTCCCGGTTCTGGAATGCAGAATACAGCCTGTTTTCTGTTAGCCCTGTCTGATCTTGCTCCCCAACATTGTTTTCTTGCTGCCTCCATAATAGACTGAGGGTCTGGTGCTAAGTGGCACCTAAATAATGTGTTTGTGTATGTTTCTGCATGTGCTTGCATATGTTTGAGTATTTGTGCAAAAACACATGTTTTACTGCTACTGTATATACTGTTAGTAGCCACATGTATTTTTCTCTTTAAATTATGTTAGAGTAGGGAGTATTTTGCTTTTTATCCCTCATGTCTTCCCTTCACCCCTCCCTGTCTGCCTCTCCTCTACACATCTGAGCGTTCTCACTGGGTTTGATGAATGCTGGGTACAGCCACATAGCTGCAGGCTATGTCAGATAGTCATTAGCTCAATCGGTCTGTTTTTCTACATCCTGTGCTAGCAGGGGGACCACACAGTGTTGCAGTAACATGGCGTGATGTTTGAGGAGATGACAGATAAGTAAAGCATGAGAGTGTAATATTAGAGGGCCGGAGGATGGACGGTTTGATAGCTTAATCTTTGACGTGTATCTTTACTGACTCAAACAGGGTGAACCACAGGTAGCCCCTGGAGCCACTGTGGAAGCTTTATAGTTTGAAAACATATTTTGGACTCTTTGCTCACATTGCCAGCAATGCAGTGTTTTAAGTTGGAGATGAAAGTTTCTTTGTGATCTTTGTCTTTCTGTTTCCTCTTGGGTGGCGCCTCTCTTTCAGGGCATATGACTCACTGAAATTACTATTTGTATTACTTTCTTTTCATTTTACCCTTTAATTTAAATCACTAGTTTTCCATTTTGGCTTATTTCTCATCTTATTTTTTTTTGTCCATACACAAACCAAAATATAAATATGACCATTTGTGGTTTTACAGGAGGTAACTGTGTCTTGGCTACCAACAATAACTTATAACTTATAACATCTTGTATTCATTGTGAGTAGATAATGCACAGATAATGTGTGGATGGATACAACTTTATTTTCTTTATGAAAAACACTATGAAACCCTACATTTTGATTTCTTTTTATCTATGAATTAAACAAATACAATACAATGCGCTAATTAGTGAGCTTTAGAGGTACTAGTATATCTATTTTTTAACGTCTTTAACAAAGCCAGGCTAGTTCTGTCCCCCTGCTTCCACTTTTTATGCTAATCTAAGCTAATTGAACTCTTCCCTACTTAACACACAGACATGAGAGTGGAATCGACCTTCTCATCTAACTCTTGACAAGAAAGCCAGTAAGCCTACAAGTCTTATTTTAAAGCACAACTTATGAACCAATTATTATATTTTTTTTATTATATTAACACACACCATCAGTACAACAGGTTTGAGCACAATTGCTTATATAACTTTATTATTTTGCCTGATCATCCAGACTTTTCTGTCTGCTCTTTCCCTCATTTCATCTTCCCTCTTTTTGTCTCTGCTGTTTTGACCATCTGAGGCTATACTTGAGTCTTTCATTGGTTTTGGGAGAATTCAATCATGGCTTAGTAATTGTTAACAGGCACCCGTCAAACCCAACCCAAGTCTTTGCCTTGTGCATTTTTCTACATCCTCTGTTTTAATTTTAGATTTATAGAGGGATAATTTCTATGGCAGCAGCATGTCCAAGCCCCCAAAGCCAGCTCGGTTGCTGTTTTTCTGTGAGAGAAGGATGACTTTTGACCTAAAGTATTCGCCATCCATCTATCCATTTGCCCTTCATCCCATTCCTCTGGTGACCACACCCTTTTTCCCCTGCTCCAAACGCAGCCATCACAGTGCGTTCCAGTCTCTCTCTGCCAATCCTTTCTAACCAGCCTTCCTTCCCTCTCTTATCCCCCAGCCCCACTGTGCCTCCTTACCAAGGGTGGGATAAGTGTGATTGGTTTTGTATGCACTCAGTGTGCAGGGTTTGAGGGTGCTCAGATGGTAGTGATTGGGGTTGTTTTGTAAGACTATGTGGAGGGTAAGCATCTTAGCGTGCTGTAGGGCTTGGCCAAAGAAACCACACAGCCAACCAACAGCACTGCAGCGCTCCTCTGCCTGGGAGTTAGGTTTTTCTCCTTTACTTGTTTTTTTTTAATTTTTTTTATTTTTTTTTTACATATTGTGCCTCTCTCAATCTCTTTCTCTTCTCGTCTCTTGTTGAGCTCCTTTTATCTGCAGTTTGAAAGGGATTTGTACTTTTTCAGTCTACTCTTAGTGGTGTGGATGTTCCTTTGCTTTTGGTTCACTGGAGTTGTAAAAACAGATGTGTGTTGAAGATGTGAGGCCTTGGCTGTTTCTGTTGGATCACACTTTCCAACTTTTACCAGTGAGTCAACTTATTGTGGTCAAATAGAGAGGACTAAATCAATCCCTAATTCAGAGTAATAGGTCTTTGGGTTTTCATCACACTTCTGAGTAAATACCGAACAGATTTCTTGCCAAACATTCAGTTTATTAATCATTCGACCACTGAATGCTGTGTGGCATGTTTTTTTTTATTGTTAAGAATCTTGACATTGAACATGAAATAAGTTTCTCAACCTTTTTTTTGTTGCTTTCAAATGATCTCAGAAAAATGCCCTCAGTAACACTTTTTATAGCAGAAAATGACATGCAAAAGAAAGTTGAACAAAATTGACATGCAAAAGATTTGTGAACCACTCTTGTGACATTATAAGAGTCTAATGTTCCATCTCTTTGTTCCTTCATTATGTCTTGCTTTTTTCACAGACGAGAATCAGCTGAGTTTATTAGTCTAGTTTTATCAGTGTATGATGAGGCCCCTTCTGAAAAATGCTTGTAAAACACAGAGGCCCTCTGTAACAAAGAATGTTCATTTCTGAAGTTGCTCATATGCCGTCCATACATTCTCACTTACTGGAATGCCTTTTCTTCACTCATGTGGTTCAAATGATGTGACGCCAACAGAGTCATCCTATATTCCAGTAACTAATTAGCTTTGATGTAATGGATCTTGGGGTTTGGGCAGATTGTATTAAAGTCTTGTCCACTGTTATAGATATGCACATAAAGTGCCAATAATCTGCTGCACATTGTTTTGCCTGCCCTTCCACAGAAAGTGTTTTGTCAGCTTGCTACAGAAGAAGACGATGCTGCAGCGCAGGCATTAATGAAGCATATGGGTGTACCACCTGAAGAGTACCATCTCAAAGTCCTTAGAAAGGTATTGGCAGCATTGATACATATTGTATGTGGGTATGTCCACATATATGCAATTTAGGGTTAAGTTGTGCTCTTTACTACATTTCAGATGGTGGCACTGATGCAGGAAAACATTGGGAAGAGTTGCAGTTCTATCTGCAACATAAATCAGAGGTACAGCACAGTAGAAACTAGCGCTGCAACTAGTGATTATATTCATAACTGATTAATATGCTGATTATTTTATTGATTAATTGTTTGGTCTAGGAAATGACGAAAGAATGGGGGGATAAAACAACAGAGTTTCCCAAAGTGATGGCTTCATATGTCTTGTTTTGGTGTAACAATGGACCAAAACCCCAAAAATGTAAAATGCTATCCAAGAGAGAAAACAAGCAAGAATCAATAAAAAAAATTGTGGGAAAATACCCAAAAAATCAATGATAATTGAATAATTGTTACAGCTGTTGCAGAAACTAATTTCCACAATAGAGCAGGTTTTCCCCACCAACATTATAGTTAACATACAGAGTGGTACATAATGTTGTCAGCATACAAATATTAAGTCAATTTAAATCTTTTTAAAAATACACAAATAACACATTTTGCTGGAAAAGGACAATACACATGTCTTGAGGGTGAGTGATAAGAAGTTCCAGATAGTACAGATTTTGTCTGTATGACTCTTTGCAGGTGTTCATGTGACCGTATTAAGGCCACATCAGAGACTTGTGTTCCCCTGATCACCTGTCCTGAGGCTGCTCCTCTTATTGGTGTACTGCTGCAGCAGCCGGTGACTTGTGTCAGGGCAGCACTTAGTGAGGACTTCCTTGATGCTCTGAGCTCTGCCTACTCCAGGTAGGGAAATACCTAGTGTTCCTGTTAGGCTGTAACATATGTTTTCAGAAAGGTTTTCTATCATTATTATGTCGAAACATACATTCGCCTTGAGTATTTCAGATGTGATGTGATGTGATAATTTTTTTTTTTTGTTTACAGCCAATGCTTGTCATTGGAGGAGCAAGCAGTAGTCTCTCTGTGGTATCACAAACTGTCCAGCCTGGAGGAAGCAGTGCTCAGTCTACTGGAGTGTGTTCTCGCAAACACAGGGTCAATGCCACAGAAGCTAGAACAGCAACTGGCACAGTCGCTGCTGGTGGGTATTTTATTGATATGAAGAAACAGATAATGTGTAGATGTATTTCTGTGATTAGATTTGCTGGAAATGTGTTCTGTCCATGTTTAACCATCAGCTGAGCACTGAATTTATCCCAAGTATATAACTATTTTAAAGTTTTGTTAAGGGCTGAAACTAACACCTATTTTCGTCAATTAATTTGCAGATTTCCTCCATTAATTGTCTAGTCTATGTGAAGAAATTGTGAAAAAAATGGCACAATTCCTCATAGCCCAAGTTAACATTTTTGAGTTGCTTGTTTTGTCCAACTAGCGGTTCAAAGCTGAAAGATATTTAGTTTACAATGATAAAAAATAAGAAAATTAAATTAATCACTTATCAAAAGATAATATAAATTTTCTGTTGATCGACTATTCAATTATTGGACTGATCATTTCAGCTCTAGTTTACTTTATAGGTGAAATGTCTGGTTTTGTTTTAAACTTTTTTTTTTTTTGCAAGTGATGTCTAGGCAAGTGCACAGTAAAACACATGGTTTAAATCTCATATTTTACCTCATTTACCTCCATGAACAACTATTTTGGCAGCATCAATATGGGAAAGAAATAGTCCATTACAGCCAAGCCAAAGTATACTGTACTGTATTTTGAGGGCTGACATGTGAGCAGATCGTAAGAGCTCATCTAAAGTGTATGGAAAAACACAAAAACATCCACTTATGAGTAACTAATGATTGGCTGGTTTTACCTTCACAGTTGTAGAGTTGTATTGTGGCATTTGACTGCTGCATGAATTGGCAGCATTTAAGACTGTTGATAAATTGGTGACATATTGCTAAATGGGTTTGTTATGTACGTAGTGGGACTCATCTGCCCTGAATTATAGTCTCACATCAGAAATCACTGCACAGTCCATATGTGTTTAGCTTCACTTTGAACTGCTTTGTAAACTGTGAAACCAAACAGTTTGAATATAAGGCCTGCTCATTTTATTATGAGGTATGGAGTTGTAATGTTTTCATATGCATAGTTCTTGGAAGTGTTCCATTGCGTTTTTTGGTGGGTCTTTATTGACTGTTTTTGCCTGGCTAACTCACACCATTTGGCTTTGCTCTGCATGCATCTCACATCATTTGGCTAGCTCTGAACTGCATCTCACATCATTTGGCTTGTGCTACACAGCCTTTACTGTGCTGGGTAAGTAGTGAACTCTCTGTCACTTGAGTCCTTGGCCACTCTTCACTTCATATAACTTAAGATCATGCCCAGTTCAAAAGTCAGAAATGATTTTTGATTCATGGATTGTTATGACTAGTTATTGAAGATGATGTCGTCATTACTACAATGCAATCAGAAAATACCAGTAGCGATATGTCTTCTTTTTACCTCTTTTTTAGGCACAGTTTTTTATTTTATTCCACAGTAACTTGGACAAACATGGCAGACAAATTAGTTAGCCATTGTGAGAAGCAAGGATAACAATAAAAGAGTTAAACGTGTCACTGAAATCAGACAATTCAGACAACTGAAATTAGATGCAGCTGTGTAGCAGAATCTAGACATATCTTTAGAGTAATTGTTCACTAAGTAGGTATGACATAAGTGGAAGGGAGTAGATAAATCTATGTAGACATGTTTTCTACAAATTGTTTTGTGCCAAACGCAACGCAATACCTTGTGTGTACAGTTACGAATGGCATCCTATTTACTGAGGTTACTGATTGCATTGCCTTTGGTAGCTATAAATGTCAGCGGAACAAGAATTTACCTGCCTCATGTTAACTTAGGTGAAGTTTGTCAGTTGTGTCACTCGTGTTTTCCTAGAGTGATGGTCCACTTGAGCTGTGTACATAAGAGGCAAGCAATGCAAATTTAGGTTAGGAACTGTTCCTAAAAATTAAGATGGACTGGAACACACCGGTGAAGTAATATAAATTATAGGAATATGCCAGTTGATTGCTCATAATTCCATCATCTTGAGTTTATAGGAGCTACTATGTTGGAAAGAGGAGTTCTGTAAACAACTTATCTAACTCTGTGTGTGTGTGTGTGTGTGTGTGTTGTGAGAGAGACAGAAACAAACGTTGACTGTTAACTTCTTTGTCCCATCATGGATCTGTTTGTTTACTCTCATCCATCTCTGATTGACCTCTTTTTATCACCTTGCTAGTGCACACGCACATGTATGCATGCAAACCCCGACACACATATGCCTTCAGTCACTGCGCTTTGTTTATGATATTGCATCTGGTATAGCGTGTCTGTCGTGAAGAAAGCGGGAGACATACGTTTAGGTTTCACTTAGCCTTCAGGTTGTTTGGATGTCAGATGTGCGTTTCACACGTGTGTCTGTATATATGTAAGTCTCTGTCGGGATACGTGTGTGTGTGCAGGAGCAAAAAAAAACAGGCATCTGAGCCGACTGGCTTGTCTCTCTCCTCGCCTCCCCTTCACTCGCTTGTTTAAACTGCAATCAAAAATGGGAAACATGAAATTAGGCCCACATTCCTCATTTTGGCTTGTCCCAGCCCCCTGTGATCCAGTGAGAGACACAGGCCCAATAACAATAAACACTCACTTCCTGGGCCTTACTGCCAAAAACAGGATGTTTGTTGTGTGCTGTAATTGACTCTCCTTGAAGTGTTAGTAGTAAGGTATGGAGCAGGATGCTCAAAAAACCCATCTGTTTTCACTAGGGGGAACCATGACAGTTGGCCCACATGCATGCATGCAACCCACATACGCAGAATCACACTGACGTACATAAACAATATGCCATGGTAGTGCTGATGCCCATGCAAACAGTTACATGTAAAGCCTGTTTTGTTTGATTAATGCTGAGGACAAAACAGAAACAAACATGTCTAAACTAGTCAATACTAAGGTTGAAAATGCTTGATTTGTGTGCTGGAATGCTGTAATAACACCACATAGACACTGGATGGGGCTGTTCTTACTAAACTGTCATTGGTTTGTCACAATGAAGCAGGTTGCTGGTTATTGGTACACATTTGGCCGGTTTACTACATTTGTAACAAAAATTGCAGGCTTTGGTTTGGTTATTAGTAAATCAAATGAATAGAAAGTTGTCTCATTGATTCTGGCACTTATTTAATCTTTACTCCTGTATTACACAGTAGGATTAAAGCCTGTAAGGTGGACTTTATGTGCTCCCCCTATAGCTGTTTGTGTGTGTGTGTGCGCGTGTGCGTGCGTGCGTGCGTGCGTGTGTGTGTGTGTGCTCAGGTCAGTGCATGAACTCATATGGGTATTGGTGATGATATGGGCTGACTGGGATTGCGGGATGCCAGCAGGGGAATAATCAAAATA